AGTAAAAGACTTAAGTAACTCATTCAATCCACACGGAGAACAATTATTTTTACCATTTCTAATATCAAACAATTTATCTACTGGATATCTTTTTACAGAATTATTCAATGTCGAATCATTTAATACAGACTTGGTAAAATTATTCTTCTTCTATCGAGTTGAATATTTTTCTTCTTCTTTTACCCTCCAAACCTTCTTAAACTTCAACGTGTTATCTGAAACAAGAAAAATTAAAATCATCAGCTTTAAATGAATGATGAACTTTATGTTTATTTTTCTTATTAGTAAGCTTCTTGTGTTTCCTCGAATTCTTTTTAGTTTTAATCTTTTTATAATATCAATTCTCGGAAACAAGTTTTTCATTAAAATTCTTTTCTAAATCTGAGGCTACGTCAGAGTCCTCAGTCATTTCATTTTTAACAAGGAAATTTTCATGACTGGGTAGTTCCTTAGAAAAGTCGAACTGATCAATCTCATTGTCCAAATAATTTTTTGAATTCAAGATTTCTGAAAAATTAATTTCTTCATTTAAAATATTTATTTCTTCTGAATCAGAAGCTTCACTTGAAGATTTATTGCACGAGAAATACTCAGACTCAACTTGTTCCGTTTTAACTTTAGAATTTTGTAAAACCTCAATTTTATTTAAAAATTCTTGCTTTTGTTGATTAAATGAAAGTCGTTCTTCATTAAAATCTTTTCCAACTGAACCACTTGTTTTTCTAAAATTAAGGTAGGAGTATAAAGCTTTGGTTCAGCGGGTTTAGATTCAAGCTTTGCTTTAGAATAGCTGTAAAAATAATCAGTTGAAAGTACAGAGTCTTGATTTTTGTAGCTATCATTTAAGTTTTTATAATCAAACGGAACCTGCATTTTGTATTTTCTTTGATGGTTAAAATCTTCTTGTTGTTCTACCTCATCAGAAGATTTTGTAAATTTAATTGAAAGCTCGGGTCCGCAATCAAGATATTCAAATTTATAAAGTCGGGGTATAATATAAAGTTTTTCCTAAAAATTTTGGATTTTCGTACCCCAACCCTTCCCGAGGGTTAAAGAATCTTGTTTCAGAGGGTTTGTTCAGAAAAATTGTTTGATCAGTTTGCCCTCTCTTATATAAAACTTCTTCCTTAGCTTTCAGTTTTTCATTTAATTGAATTATTTGTAAATCAAGCTTACTTATTTTAACAATCAGTTCTTCATTTACTAATTCTAACGATTTATATCGTTCCTTGGAATCAGATAGCTCGGTTTTTAAGACATTGGATTTTTCATTAGATATTTTAGATTCAGAAAATAAAGATTTTGCCCAATTCAAATTTCCAGCATTTTCATCAAATAATTTGATGTATTTCTCTTTTTGTGTTTGTAATTCTTTTTGAAATTGATTTGAACGCAATTTTTCTGTTTTTAGTTCATGCTGAAAAGATTGAAGTTTAAGCATCATCTTATGCATTTGATTAATGCATGAATTCTTCAATACCTCTTCTTCCATTTCAGCATTTTGTTCTTCTCCTTCATCTGAAGAACCACTTTCAGTTCTCGCCATCAAGCATATGTGTGCCACAGCTTCTTATTCTTCCTCCTCATCGGTTAAGTTTAACCAATGATCGTCTTCTGCCATCAAAGCTTTACCCGTATCTCTTTGTTTTGAGAGAAGAAATTTGTTCTTGTAATAGTTGGTATTTCTCGTTATCGGCTTTCTGCAGTTAACAGCGAAGTGGCCTGGCTTGCCACAGTTGTAGCACTTTGTATGCTCATCAGCTACGCCTTTGACAAATTTCTTCTTCTCTTCCGGCTTCTTTTCATATTTCTTCTTAAATCTTTTCTCTTCATATTTCTTCTTCTCACCGAATTTATCTTTAAATTTTTATTTTGAGCCGGAAGAAAATCTCTGATTGTTTGAGTGCGGTCTTTTCTTAAACTTCTTTTGGAATGCCTTCGTTAGCATCGCCATGGCATGTTTGATTTCAATCATTTCAGAGTCAGAATCAGATTTGTCGCTTCCTTTACTTGCCGATTCACTTGATTGGCTTATCTCCTTCACTTGCTTCCCAGATCTGCTTTTCCCTTTCTTTTCAGATACAAAGGCTAAAGGATCAGCAACTTCCTTTTCCTTCTTCTTCTTAGAATCTTGGACCTCCAAAACTTCTTCCTCGTTCTGCTTAAGAGTTTCATAAACCTCATGTATGTCGATATCAAATAAAGATTTGTTAAATCTGATATGGTTAGCATAAGGTTTCCACTCTGGTTGTAGGTTGATAAGAAATTTAACATTTATCTCTATGACAGTTTTAGAGATTCTGTTCTTGGTAAGCTCATTAAGCAGTCTAGTAAGCCTGTCATAAACATCATCAAGGCTCTCTCCATCTTTAGCCTTGAACTCTTCATAAGCAGATATACAGTTAGTGATTTTTAACTGAGTTCCGACTTGGAACCCATCATCATCTTTTCAATTTGAACCCACATGCTGTGACCAGAAGATTTATGGCTATCAATGCTTGTGTAAATATCGTTGGTCAGTGCTTGCATCATGTAGGACTTGCATAACACATCAGCATGGGCTCTCTCCTTCTCTTCCGCAGTGTATCTGAATTTCTCTTTAATGACTCTTTGCGCAGGTCTGCCTTCTTTAGGAACAGTAGGTGTCTCTCTGTAAAATATAGCAGGACCTTCCATCAAAGATTCCATTATCAGATCACCTTCTTTCATTCTCTCAATGAAGTTGAGGAATCTATCCCTCCATTGGTTATAGTCTCCTCTAAACAGTACAGGTGGCTTGGTGTCAGTATCAATAGCCATTGCCTCTCTTGAACTCATTTTCTCAGATAAGTATGATATATGATCAACTGCAGTTCAAAATTTGAATTAAAGGATTAGGATTCAAAAAATATATCTATTAAATCGCACACAAGGATTTGCATACATTCAAGACTTAGAAAAAATAAACACACATTAGAAATCCGGTCAAGCTTATCTGGATTAGAAATCCGGTCAAGCTTATCCGGATTAGAAGTCCAAACAAAAGAGATAGTCAAGAATTTTCTAATCAAACCAAGTTATCTGGATTAGATATCCGGACAACAAAGAGAATTGAAATCGCACAAGTAACAAATCCGGATGAGAAATCCGGTGAATTCAAACACTTAGTCAAATCACACAAATAAGAAATCTCAATACGGACTATTCAAACACTTAGTTAAATTCACAAAAATGAATACGGACGTAAAAAGTCAATAAGTCAACAAGTCAATATACGTACAAATCCGCTCAAATAGTCAAACAATTCAAATCAAAGATATTAAACCGCTCACAAAAGAAAGTCAAAGTTCGTTCAACAATCTGTTCACAAAGTCAAAGTACGATCAATTAAATTGCATACAACAGAGGATTAAATCACTCAAATAAATCGCGCATATAACAACCGGATTTTCAATAAATCGCACAATGAGTAGACTAAATCGCACAAAGGATCAACTAAATCGCTCACTAAATCGCTTAAGAAGCAACCGGATTACCAACAAATCGTACAACGAATCAACGATTTACCAAACGGATTAAGCTAAATCGGTCACTAAATCGAACAAGTAACAAACGATTTACCTATAAATCGATCAAGTCTTACCCGGTTTAATTTAAATCGCACAAACAATCAATTCACAGATAAGTCTTAAATCGTACAAGCTTTAAGCGATTAACACTAAACCGATCAAGAGTTATACGGATTAGAATTCAAGTAAAAACACAATTTTAACATTTTTTCACCAAAAAATGGATCAAAACCTGCAAAAATATGAGTTTTTAAGAACAGAAACAGATTTCGTAAACTCAAAAATCAATCAAAAATGATACAAAACTTGTTTAAAATCAAAATTGATATGAATCAAAGTTGTTTAGATTGAAATTGCGAATTCAGTAGTACAAATATCAAATAACAATAAAAAATGATGCGATTCAAGTCAAAAATATGCAATCTGGACGAAGAACTCTAAAAACAATTGAAGAACAGGTATGAATAGTTCGTTAAATCCTCTAAAATTAGTGCAAATTCCTAGATAATTTTGGTTGATCCTCTAAACAAATTGCTGCAGATAGCTCTGATAAAATTGAAATGTTCAAATCATACAAAATCAGAATTCAATCTTCAAGATCTAGATCAAGAACAAGAGTAGATAGAGATTTTCACCAAATCTTGAATAGATTTCTTTGAGAGAAAAGTACAGAATTGATTAGAACTCTAATCTGATTAATCACTGAACTAATGACAATTAGAAAGCTAATTACTATTTATACTAAGGAAAACAGTAAAGACTAACTATTACAAAACAATATAAAGGGAGAACTTGAATACAACTTTAACGCACAATCTTGAACCCAACACACCTCTTAACGATTCACAAGTTGTCTATTAATGGAACTATTAAGAGTTAAACAAACAACCCCTTAGAGATGATTAAAGATCATTGTGTAATCAGAATCTTAGAATATTACAATTTTTTTAAGGAATAGGTTAAATGGGCTGGGTTTCAGTGAAAAAGAAAGTTAAATGAAAAACGTAAGAACTAATCTCGACCATTTGATGCATATTAAGATGAGATGCACAAACGCAACTCATAAGTGAATTTGAGATTAGATGTAATCAAGGGTTCAGATCTGTTCTTATAGTTTTCAACTTAATTTTCCTTCTCACATGATTCATTCACATAGGTTAAATACACACCTGCTTACTAGTACGTGCATATAGCAAAAATTATTTTTTATATTTTTAATTTATAACTTAATATGATTTTGATATAAACATATGTGTATATAATAGACCTTAGTTTTTATACTTTTAAATATATAATTTAACCTAAATTTAATATAAATAAACATACATAGAACAATAATTTTTTTAAACTTTAACATAAATTTTGTTAATTGATTTTCGAAAATATAAATAAAAATAATTTTTGTTAATTGATTTTCGAAAATAAAAATAAACAAAGGTGAAGATGGTGATTGTGCTTTGGCGCTCTATTCCTCCATCCTCACCCGTCAAATTATCCTCCTCTTATCTCCTCTCTCTGTCTCTACCACCAAAATTTCATCAATGGCGGTATCATGGAGGATGATCTCCAATACATCCAACCCTAATTTTCACTACTCATCTTCATCTCCCTTTTTCTCTACTTCAACTTTTCCAAAAAACCCTCATGCTTCACACTTGTTTACCATCTCAACAACACACAATTTACCACGAGATCCTAAACTTTCAACTTCAGTTTCTGGAATCTGGGACGCTGTTACAGGAGGAGGCGGTTCATCTCGTGAAGCCCTCATAGCTATTCGACGAGGAATGGTCCTCTTTCGTCAGGTTTTTCCACATTTCCAAAATTTGATTCCTGCTTCAGTTTCTGTTGTTTTCTAAACCAATCCGTTGTTGTAATCAAGGGCGATGTATCTGGGTCTGTAGCAGAGTTCGATAATGCAATCAAACTTGATTCTCGTCAAAAGGCATGTGAGTGAGTCCCTTTGATTTAACACCAATTGCCTTCCGAATTTGAGATCTGATTCATTCTTGTTTAGTAGTTGTATAGAATCTAATTGCCCTAGGGGTTTTCTTCTGGAATTTGTTCATTATTGTCGATGGCCAAATACAACCATGGCCTTTGTGACATTAATGGCAGCAATTAACTGTGATTGACCATTGGTTTTTGGTTTTGTGTGAACAGATCTTTGGCAGAGAGGGCTCTCACTATATTACCTTGATAGGTTTATTCTCAAAACTATCTCATTTTTATCAGGATGGTCTATGTATTGTTATCCACGATGATTAAAATGGAGGTGACCAATGTGGGCAGGTTTGAAGAAGGTGCCGAGCAATTCCGGATAGATGTAGCACAAAATCCGAACGACACTGAGGAGTCGATTTGGTGTTTCCTTTGTGAAGCTCAACTATATGGAGCTACTGAAGCAAGAAAACGATTTCTTGAGGTCTATAGATGATAATATCTGTGTGTAAATTATAACTTCTCTTAGCAAAACCAAACACATTAAATCCTACTCTAAAGTAGAACAGTTGTTTCTGGGTGGCTTATTCACTCAGCCATACGTGAGTCTTTTACAGCTTAATCGTTAAGCCAAAATGGCTATATGGAATAAACCAGGACCCTTCATTTGTCCCGATTAAGCCACCTCAAACAAACTAATAACTGAAATGCCCTAGAAATTATCCAACCTTCTCTCATTGCCTCCCTCAAACCCATTGGTCTGCCATGTCTGCCATGCCTCAGACACAAATTTATTCAGACAAACAACTTAACTCATACAAGGCTTAATGGAAGGAAAAAAAACAAACCCTTAGTCAAATATCCGTACAACAGGCTCATTCACTTGCCTTACTTGTTAGGTTGGAAGAGATCCTAGACCTGTAATGAGAGAAGCTTATAACATGTTCAAAGATGGTGGTGACCCTGAAAAGGTACGTGCGTTGCTTCGAGCCAATTAAAATCACATCTTTCGTCCTGTTTTAGCTCGGTTTCTTGTACTGGAATTGTTTGATACCGATCATTACAAGTGTTGATTTGTGCCCTTGGTTTCATATGAACTTTAATGGCTTTAAACTGGTTTCTGTGGACAGCTTGTCGCTGTGTTTTCTGAAGGACGAGCAAGCGAGTATTTTTATGCTTCGCTATATGCCGGTCTTTATTATGAATCTCAGGTCTGCATGCAAACTATATTCTTGATTGTTAGCAGTTCCATGTCAGCTAGCTTTGAATCCTTTTTTTAGGTCGCGTTTGGTACGTAGCACATGAAATTTGTTGTCCCATGTTTGACAAGAAATTAAACTGGGTCATGACAAGACCTAAAATCTTCCAGAATTCTTTCACTTGCATGCTTCACTCTTTTTTCGTTTGGTCTGCATACCAAACGCAATTTTCAAGAGTAGTGTAACGGGATTTCAAATATTTCATATTAGAGTTTGCTTTAAAAATTATGATTGCTGAATGCAGAATGAAGCAGACAAGGCCAAAGTACACTTGGTCGCTTCATGTCAATCGCCTTATGGACTAAGGTCTGTGCTCATGGACAATATTCTGTACAAATTCAAATTTAAGGTGGCTGATCCCATAATTCATCATCTGTTTGTTGTGCTTAATATTGCAGGTCTGATGATTATATGGCTTCCCTGGCCAAGGTTCATTGCGCATGTCGAAAATGGGAGTTGTAACGTGGCTCAATCCTCAAATGCTATCTTACATCGAGTTTGACCTTTGAGAACGGTTGGGAATTCTTATAGATCCGAAAGTTGTCCCTAATCTCGAGCAAAATACGTAATTATTTCTGAAAAGTAAGATGTAAACAACCTTAAAGATTTTGTTAGGCTTTATTTTGGAGTAGCTACATGATGAATTGGCTGAGCATTGTTATTATGAAAGAAGATGCAAATAGCTGAAATATCATCTGTTGCGATTCCTTTCCGCTTGTGTTTCCATGCTCGGATTGCATAGTCCACCAGTCGTTTAGCCGATTTGGCCTTGTCAGCTGCCGATGACACTATCTCCACGGCTTCTTCATTTGAAACGACATCCCACACCTAAAAAAAAACAAATGTCACTGTAATTCCATGTCGTACAAAATTAACAACTTCGACCATGTTGACAACTTTAAACCGGTTAGCTAGCTTTTCTAAACGCTATTTGAATTAGCATTTCTACAAGCTCCAAGGGATGTGTTCTACCTTTTTTCTGTTACGCCCCTTGTAAACCGTTATCCTATATTATGAGCTAGTTTTACCACATGACTAGCTTATCGGCTAACAGCTAGCTTAACTGCAAGTTTTTCCCTTAGGTATTTGCACTACTCAACATACCCCATCTGAAGCGAGCACGATAAATTGGTCTCTGGTGGTTATATGTCTTTGTACGACTTCAGGAACAGATATGAGCCCAAAATTCTTTATGCAGTAATCGCCGAAGGCTCTTGACATAGCCAGACCTGGCGAGTCCTCGTATGGCAACCACATCCGGTGCAGGCCAGGCTCGTCCTCTAAGCTGAAAACTCGCCCATTACACTCCACTATCCGTTCAGCCTCCTCTGCGCAAAAAATCGGTTTATTCAATTGACACCCACAAAACTCGAATAACAAAGTACAACCTGAGAGCTACTCACGAGGTAGATTTGGCTTAAAATCGATGGTAAGTTGTACGGGTACCAAGTAGCCATCATTAGTAGTCGTAGCCAGTACAGCACGAGAATCTCCAACATTCGCTACGACCAAATGGTCACCCTGCAAAATAGTAACTTTGCCTTCAAAGGTCTTGGAGGGGAAGTTATAAATATTTTGAGAACGTAGAAACCAAATATTCATGAATATTCACAATGAATATCATGATATTCATTACGAATAGTTAGTTCTTACCGTTCTCAAAATATTTATAGTAAAAGATCTTGAATTACCTGTCTAACTGCTGTCAAAGCGGTGGTTCCACTATAAACGGAATCAAATTTGCGGCATTGCTCTAGATCCTGGTCAACATCAGCACAAGCCTTTTCGAAAGAATGTTGCCATAGATGGAATCTATCAAGCTTTTTATCAGACTGCAAGTCGACATCAGGATCAAACGAACCTTCGACTAGCATCTCTTGCCAATTACAGAGCAACGATGATGGCATCGAGTCACAAACTCTCTTGGCAACATAATGTCCCCAGGGACCATGACCATCAAAAACCCCACAAAACATCATATCTTCTTGGCACCCAAATTCCTACAATAATCCACATAAAAAAAACCAAATTTACATAAGATTCATAGATGAATATTGAGACACATAAAACGTCATATGAAAAAACCTCCAAAAACCAGATTCACAGATGAATATATACCTCCCATACGATGCAACAATCTTGATTCACCCCCTTTTCACCTCTTTTGGAGCAAACAGAAGCGAAATTATTGGATCCGTTCACATTGATTGTACCCGAAGATCTTAAGATCATCTCGTTCTTCTTTGCATCTTTTGCAATGGCTTCTGCAGCTTCCTTTCCACCACATTGCCCAGAACTCTCTCCTCTCTTGCCACTCGAAAAGGTTCTCGCTAACCCATCAAACATAGACGAAAAACGCCCCATAATTCAATCCTGTTTCAAAATTCACAAAAAAAAAAAGATGGATCTTAATGATTCAGCAATATAAAGAAAATATATCAGATATCATACAAGTTTTAAGTCTCACATGGAATCGCAATAAGCCATGTGCTCTGGTTTTGTTTGATTACTCAAAATAATTGTCAGACTGAACATGAATCAAACCTATAAACCTTAACATGAAAAGCCAAACTTTCTTTATACCGAATCTAGAAAAACCTAAATCCAACCATGGATGACCCCATTAACGAAAAAGCTTCCATTATCTTTATAAGAATTAAATACATATATATATATATATATATATATATATTTAAAAAGACATCGTCGGAGAATATTCAACATCCCACATGGATTTCTTCAGAAACTGTCAGTAGAACTAAGCCACAATATTCGTTTCTATTCTGAACCCAACAGAGATTTATGCTTAAGAAAGCATGAAGTTAGAGAAGAAAAATGGCATGAGAAATTAAGACCTTGTTTTGATCGGAGAGTCGCCGGAAAATGAGAAGAAGTCCGGTGAGAGTGAAAATGGATGCGATTGATCATATGGGTTAAGTTGTTTGTGGTTTTTAGATATTTTAGTGGAGGGAGGAACCCACAAAAGGAAAAGATGATGGAGGTGTCTGCAAATAGATATACAAAAATACAAATACATATAACAGAGTGTATGTATGTGTGTGTGTGTGTGGGGCAGGCCATAATAAGTGGATTGTTTGTAAAATCGAAAGAGTATCTACCTTTTCCAACAGTAACTATCCGTTTCATCTTTGCATGCGATGAACACAAAATATCTACTTTCACCCTTACAAAAGTGTTTATCAATTTGGAAAGAATTGCATTAAAATAGAACCAATTTTTATCTGGATCTATTTTGAAGAACCAACTTTCAAAATCGTAATTTTAGGAAACGAACTTGCACTTAATTTCTATTTTGGAAAACCAACTTGCAAAATAATTATAGATTAGTAACTAAAATTCGTTTTTTTTCAAAAATTAATGCAAAAAAATCTATTTTTCATTTCAAATCTCGTTCTTTTTTAAATTCAGATATCAAATTGAAAATTTTTTTAAAAAAATCCAAATTATCACAATAAAAATTATTTTTTTTACTAATGCAATAAAAAAATCAATTTAATAAAAAAATTAATTGATGCAATAAAAAATAATTCTTAAATATCACATTCAAGATTTTTATACTAACCAATCTGTATCAATATTAAAGTTTAAATCAAATTTGGTAAATCAAACCAAAAGTTTGATAGAGACTCTTAAATTACATGTTACATGTTCAACAGATCAACCAGACTCTTAAATAAACAAAAAGTTTGATAGAGACCTCTAAATGACGATTTTGAAAGTTGGTTCCCCAAAATAGGAATCAGGTGAAAGTTGGTTTCATTTTGATGCAATTTTCCCATCAACTTATTATAAGTTAGAATGATTTAACTTTTTCAAGAACTTCTTATTAACGGTTTGTTACCGGTATAAGTTGTTTATCCAAACACTCAAAAGTGGTTATTACCGGTGTCATACAGGAATAAGTCAATAATTTTTTTTATTAAACTGCATATCCAATCCACTATGCGAGCCGACTAATCCCAAGGCGACCACCTACTTTGCAGATAGCCTGGAGTCACCGCATTTGAACCTCTGAGGCCACAAGGGGATTTTTATTCCTCCTTGGATTTGAACCTGGGACCTCTAGGTACTTTTGACCTTTGGAGTTAAGCTCAAACTAATCAGCCACCACCTTTGTGGTTAATAAATTGTTTTTATAAGCAATCCCAAACATTAATTTCATTCAAAATTAGATTTATTTCCATTTTTAATTTCTAATTAGTTTATTTCAAATATATTTAATTATTTTTTAAAATGTTAATAACACCAACATATATTTTATGTTATACTAAAACTATAGATCAATCAGATCAAATGTTGTATTAAGAATCTTACAAATTACAATAACAAAAATATTTTTGAAATTATAAAATTACATATGAAATACGTTTAAATAAATTTAGAATAACAAAAATATTTATCAGTGTATTTCTACTTATGAATTCTTTTATATACCAATTAGTTTGGTTGAGTTATGGTGATAATGAAAGTTAGAGTGAGAAGTATAAGAAGAAATATTCACTCTTGAATGTACATTAGAAAAAGATGTACTGGATCAATCATCGCATCAAGTGTGATTCATGAGTGAGTTTGAGATTAAAGATGATCAATGATGCAATCGTACAAATCTCTTCTCACGTTTTTAATCTTTACTTTCCTTCTCATACGACTATTCGTCTGAACCAATATTGAAACCTGTTTTTTCTAGTTTTTGATGTACATTTAATTTAATTAATTATGAAATATTAGATCTTGATGTAAACAAAATCTTTTATAGATTTGGACTTATGGTCAAAGTTTGGTGGCGGAATTATGAGGAGCAATGTCGGTGTCTTGGCATGAAGGGAAATAGTCGGGGTCCGGAACACGGGATATTGGAATCGAATGGTGATGGATTAGGACACGTCAGCATCAACATATAAGTCACATGTGGGTCGGCGCACTGGAAAATGACACGAGAATGTTCCTTCCGTGTGACATATTTTCGTAAATTCATATTTCCATTTTTTGGAATCCATTTGTTGTAAACGTGTCATTTTTTAAGTCAACTTAATTCTAGTTCTTTTCAATTTCATGGAGTTTGGACCATTTGATAACGTGATAAAATTATAGTTTTATATTTAAATAAAATATATTTTAATATTTTAAAGTAAATTATATTGTTGATGTTTGTGGTTTGTTTAAAATCTGGATGTGGTTCTTATTTAGAAATAAGTGCAATTAGCATTCCAATGCTTTGCATTATGTATTGAGTTGGGTCATGTCTTTGACGGACTTGACTCTAAATCTGTTAATTCAAGGATATTTTTGTCTTTTTACATTTTCTTTAACTTTTTTTTTGTAAAACTAAAAGAACCTCAAATCATCCACTAAAACAACGCCACATGTCTCCAACCCTTCTTTCTGTCCCCTGCCCAAAATAAAAGTCCCCCTCGGTATACCCTTTCTCCAACGGCCTCTTTTCTTCTCTCGGAATACTCTATCTTCGGCAGCATCACGACCATAATAAAACCAATCCATACACCAAATTAGCAAAACCAAAATCAATTCAAAACAATTAATCCACATGTTATAAACATAAATCAAAACCCAATTCATAAATAAAAAACAAATTAAATCCTAAAAAGACAAATTAAACCCGAACGTCAACAACCCAATCCATATATCATAACTAAAATCAAAATCCAAATTAAACTAACCAGAGTACCACCAACATCAAAATCAAAGCCGATTTTAGGAAGGGCGTTAGATTTTTGTTACACATAAAAATGGGGGTTAGATGTAGGGAAGGGGTTCAATCAAACGGTAGGGGGCTTTATTTAGAGATGAAGACGAAGGGGGTGCGGGTTTCATTTAGAGATGAAAACGGAGGGGAGGTCCGATTTATGGATGAAAACGAAGAGGGAGGGGATGAATCGAGTTCTACGGAGATGTGATGGAGGGGGTGATTTCTCTAGCGGGATAGAAGTGGTGGTCTTTCCAGACTGTAGGTGATGGTGGTGCTCTTTCTGAGAGCTTGTGTCGCCCACTATTTATGTGTAGTGTGGGTATATATGTATAATATACAATACATAAAATTTATATAAAAATGTAAATAAACAAATAAATGTTATTATTATTAGTTTAATAGGAAAAAGACAAAAAGAGGGGAAATTTGACAACAATGCCCCCGAGTTAATGGATTAATAGTTAATTCCATTAGAGATAGGGACCAACCGGAAACGAAATACAAAGCACGAGAACAATGAGAGTACATATTTTGAAATAGGGATTGTATCCAAATTTTGAGCAAACCCCAAGGACCAACGATGTAATTTACTTAGAGGCTATTTGCAGGAATGAAAAGGAATTGGGGGCCAAATCCATTTTAATCTCGTGTTTGGTTTACAAGATTGCCGGATTTAATATCCTAGGATTTCTTTAAAATCCTGCAGATGATGGATTTGAAAATCCTTTAAAATGAGTTTTCCTGAAAGATTTCATAAAGCACTTCTTCTTCCTTGCCTAAATTTAGTTGCCCCACTTTTTCTTTCCCACCCTCTGAAAAAAGTGAAAAAAATGAATCACCGATCCCCCTCCTCCATTGTCTGCACTGCTGCCCTCCACCGCCATCTGCACAACCCCTTGTAGAGAAATCAACCTGATTGTTCCCCCGAATCAACAATGAATCACTCGAGATCAAGTCCTTCGGGTCACTGACGCACGACTGCCGTTTTGGAATCGGCTTGACACCACGAAGAACCGGAAAAGGTGAGCCTGAATTGAGGTGGGTCACATGGACGAACTGACTCGATTGGATCTTATCACTGATAATCAAATCAACGTCAACCTTTAGCACAAAGACGTAGGTGGAGTGAATCAACTCCTTGTTTCTCCTATCACAAATCATCTTGTGGTACAATGTCAATGACCTGAAGGAGAGGAGATCAGTGGTCCCCAACGACTTTGGCAGTGAGGTTGTCTAGGTTTTGGAAGAGCTTTGATAGGACCCGGGGTGTAAGAGACGCCATGGCAGAGACTAAAAGCACCATGGCAGAGATTGAATATGAGGGTGGAAGATAGATTTGATTTTTTCGGGAATCTCATAGTGACATTGGATTGATGGATTTTTTGGGGGCAGGTATTGAATTGCAAGGCCGGCTTCGACAGCGGAAACTTGCAGGATTTTGGAGGATTTGTTAAACAAAAAAATTACATCCATTCCAAACCCTACAAATAAAACATGATTTATAAAAGAATAGAATTCAAACCCATTACAAATCCTACAAACCACATAAAAGGATTCCAAATCCATTCCAATCCAAATCCAAATCGCTCCATGAAATCTGAATCCCTCAATAACAATCATCCAAACCAAACAGACTCTTATTTTTTATTTATGTTTTAGTAGTTCAACATATAATATTCTTATTTAAAAATGTCATTACCAAATTCATGTTCTTCAAATGTGAACAAAAACAAAATCGGTTTCATTTTGATTCTGAAAAACAATATCTTTTTATGTTGAACCAGGCAAAATTGATTACATTTAGGTGCAATTTACGCTCACTATATCACTTTTTAAAACATGTCATAAAAGGCGAACTCAAAAAAGTTGAGCGAGGACGCAAAGTAACTAAGATAATTAAAAAAAAATTAATTCTAGAAAATGTAGTTTTATTAAAATAACGTTAAAAGATTTGAACTTTTAACCTGTAACAACACTATCAATAAGTTATACTCATTTTTTCTTAACTGAAAGAAACACACATCAGTTAAAGTTAGATGCATCTTTAAAACCAATTCTTTTCCTATCACGTCCGGACAATACTGTGGGGAAATGTACACCCTCTACCTCAAATACCTATGTCTCACGTCATACATAATTACATATAAACTTGAATTCACAAATCATTAACAATTAGGTAGATTCATAACTTTTTTTCATGTTAGTTTGCTAATAACTTCTCCTTTTAATTGA